TTGTTTTTGTGTATATTTGTTGTCTAGTCATGACAAGGCCCAAATTCAGGCCCTGCCCTTCTTGCCAGACTCCCAATCAGGCAAACAGGAAAACTTGAAATGTTTGTTTTGCAAGCCTGTCCACCAAAAAGAAAATTCAAGAAAAAGTGGTATCACTGGATAGCCAGTGGGGGGAATCTGTCCTTAAAAGCAGAAATGCTGGGCGTATAATTGATTCTGCCCATATTGCAGTAAGTAAAAGTGTTAATATTTCATAAGTTAGTGTAACCTGAAGTGAAGCTGAAAGCTTGTGTTTTTCACACATTGAATATCAGACATACAGAAAACATGTGTTTTAAAAGTATTGTTACGTTGAGCACAATTCCCACAACGATAATTCCCATTTTTTATAGGACTAAGTAAACGAGGGCTGACACTTTGAAAGCGAGCATGTACCAAACAGTCCTTCAAATTTCTAGCGTGTTTATGCACAATCAATGGAGGATAACGATAAATGCCACTCAACCCTGGATCCGAAGACAACAAATGCCAATGTTTTTTAATATTTTTTTAAGAATATTTTCTTGCTTTTTTAGTCTTTTTTATCAACAATTCCGACCGCGTCTTTTTTTTAGAGACGTATTAAATGCTTCATCGACCCATTTTAAAGGGTAAACCCTATTCAAGAATTTTTCAGTTTTCATAATATTAGACTTTTCAATAAAATCGGCATCTGAATGACAAATTCTTCTCAGTCTATAAAACTGAGATCAGCAGATCAGTGGACTCTTGTGGGCAATTTGATTGACACACTGGGCCCACTTGAAAAGGTAACACTGCAAATGAGCAGGGGTGCGTTTCCCGAAAGCATCGTTAGCCAACTATGGTCGCAATTTCCATTGAACTCTATTGGCAACGACGGAACTTACGACCATAGTTGGCTAACGATGCTTTCGGGAAACGCACCCCTGATCATCAGACTCATAAATATCGTGCATAATTCCCAGCATCACTGTACTAAAAATGCTACTTGAATTTGAGGGTGCAAAAGCAAGAGGCATCAACACACTCCGTGACAATATGCTGGACAGTTTAAAGGCAAGTTTGAAAAAGCAGACAAGACCAAATGCTTGGTCCTCTCAACACCGCTAGATCCTCGTTACAGGGGTCATGCCTTGGCACCAGGCACACTGAGCAATGCAAAAGACTGGATAAAGGATGAGCATGCCACTCTGTCTGAGGCTAAGACACGGAAAAGGGCTTCCTCTGAAGATTAAGGCCCAGATCCAAAACAGAAGACGCTAGTCCGTCTGACATGCTTGAACAGATGCAAACCTTCTGGGGGCACATGGACCAACCTCTGAGGAGACTGATGATGAGGAGGAGCAACTTTTTACTCAGTAGCTGGATCAATACCTGCGTGAGCCATTGATCGACAGACAGACGGGCCAACCACTTGCATTGTGGAAGCAAAATGAATTCCGCTTGCACCTTCTGGCACCACTCACCAGAAAGTTTCTCAGTCCAAGGCCCTACTCTGTTTCCAGAGAGGGTATTCAGTGAGGTCAGCTAGTTATATGAGAAAAAGAGGAATAGGCCTTCACACTGGCAGTTGAGCTCCGATACGGCACCGAAACGACCAGAAGTCACTCATTTTCTATGGAGACCGCATGCAAATGGGTCTGAAACGGGTCCGACTGAGTGCGGTGCGAAGAAAATCGTGTCCATTGGTCATCCGGATGTGTTCAAAAAATTGAACTCTTACGGACGGCTCTATCCGACAATTGACCTATGGCTAAGCCACGCCCCCTCCACTCACTCAGACACACAGTCAACATTCGGGGACAGAAGCTATTGGCAGCGGTCACCGTAGGAGACATTTCACCGGAGGCAATTGGTGATTTTTGGAGACAGAAAGATTACACATCATCTCAAAGTCACCTAAAGGGCCTTAACTATGCATTGGAGGGTTACATTAATAATTTTATATTTGAGAAGGTCGATGAAAATCTCCAGGCAAAAATGTACAGGTCACATTGTAAACGTGATAAACCGCATATCGTTGCCTCATCGTTTAGTGCATATGTGTCAAACTCAAGGCTCAAGGCAAATGAATTATCTTTGCCCCGCATGACAAAATGTGTTTATTTTTAGAGCTGGCCCGCCGGTATGTCGGTTCAAATTACGTGGGAGCGAGTGGGAGCTGAGCACATAGAGAGAGTGCTGTGTGGTTGCGCTGTGTCACGTGACAAGCAATGACGTGTCACCATGGAAACATACCACAATAGAGGGTTTCACCGACATCACATTCTGGGCGGTAACCCGGATGAGCAGCCATTATGGAGGCACTCAGATGTAAACAACAGCGTGGATCGCACTGTTTATGTACTACGGAACACATTGTTACACTAAAACAACACAGAAAAATACAGGCTCTCAACAAGTATTATAGTAAACTTTTCATTTAGGACAGACTCAAAGAGTAAATTCAGAAAACCAGTTCCGCATTTGTGTTTCACGGGACAATCTTCTAGAGAGGGGGCCCGAGCAATGGCAAAGACGAAAAAGAGGAACAAAGGTAACCTTCATTGGCGAACCTGGACTCGACTCTGGTGCTTTACGGAAAGAGTTTCTTACAGGCAAGTCTAGTATAAAATAAAATGAAAATATAACTAAAATTAATATGTGTAATTCACCGTTTTTTCTCCATATATTATTCAAAGAAATGATCAATGGCATTGAAAAACACCTCTTCCTGGGTCAGAGAGCAAAGAGTCCACAGTATTCCAACAGTGACCTTGACAATGGTTTCTTCAGGTTTGTGATGTTTCACTTGTGAAGTGTAAAAATGAGTGCTTTTTAAAATCTTCCTCACATTTGGAATAATAGGACTGCTGGAGAGATTAACTGGAGAGTCAGTTTAGCGCAAGGAGCCCCAGCCCCATGTTTCCTGAAAAAGTGGTGCTATTTCTATCTCACCAATGGGGAAACTGATGTCCACAGAATTGCAAGGATGATACTCCCTGTTGATTTCAAAGGTAACTCCACTCTGCATGCTCCCTAATGGTTACCAGCAGTATATTTTATTGTCGGTTTGCATATTATCACAAAGTAATCCATACCATAGTGTTAATTTTGGCATCCTGTTGTAACTATTTTCCATGAGGTTGAAGAGATCTAAAGAGCCGAGCCTCAACACCTGTTGCCCGTTCTCCTCGCTGTGAGCAGCTCGACCCATCTCTTAAAGATGTGCAGACTGTTTTCTGTTTCCCGTATCTACCTGTGATCTGTGTTGAACTGAGTTTGCCTGTCGGCTATTGAGTTGAGTGTTTTTGCCAAGCGGCTCCTGAGTTATTAAAGAGACTATTGATATGCCTTTGCGTTTGGGTTCTCTTTACAATCATCATTAGGCTACAAGTAGAAGTGTTCTGTCATGCGAACACTTTTCGTTAAAAGTGTTTTTTGATTAACTTGCCATTAGTGAAGGCTGTAACTACATGCTCTGGATTCTGTTCTCCACTTTTCTATGTAGTGTCTAATGAATAATCTGTATTATTTATAAGATTGACTGGGTGTGTGTGTGATCTGAAAGCATTGTTTGATTTTGAGTACGGGTGAAATGATTTAAGGAAATTGGTTGATTTTGCCAGAAGAGTCAGAGGTTCTCTGAATGTATTTTGAAGATTTGGTTTTGTGTTTAAGGTTTCGAGAAATGTGTTTTAGCAATTCATAAAAACTGTACCCAGACAGCAAACTGACATTGAATCAACGTGGAAACGACGTCTTTCATGACATTGAAACAACGTTGATTTTGCTCCTCGAATTAACGTTGAACCAACGTCAGACGCGGCATTCTTCAAAGCTAAATGAAATCGAAAATTGGTTTGCTTTCATAACGTTGAAACAACGCGTTGATTTCAAGTTGATTTTCCGTTAGTTTTGAAAGAATGACGCATCTGACGTTGGTTCAACGTTAATTCGATGAGCAAAACAATGTCAGATCAACGTTGTTTCGATGTCATGTTTCCACGTTGATTCAATGTCAGTTTGCTATCTGGGTAAAGTTTATTCAGGACTCGGGTCAAATCAAAACACTTCCTATAGCTCTTCTTAGTTCAGAATAGTACTTTGTTTGAATTTAACAGTAATCTTAGTCATTAATAGCCAAATTAATCATTTAGTGATCACACATTTTTTTTCAGCTAGCTTTACATAACAGGTTCCAAAATATATTTTTTTCTTTAAAAAAACAACAACTTTCATACAAAATAAGAAAGAAAGTCGTGATCTCAAGGACAATTCCTTTGAGCCTGTTCAAACATTTGTCTCTAGCATGGTTCTGGGTTCTACTACTTTTTATTTTGCAATGCAGAGGTATCTGGCGAATAGACTCACTATTTATCTCTAACTTTAGTACTTCTCTTCTATTATGTGCTGCAGCACATGCCAGACAATACTCCTATATTTCTAGTTTATTATTACTCTCTGGTGTCATTTACCAAGAGAGACTCTCTGAACTAAGTTTTACACTGTTTATTTAGCAAATGATGCAACAGTAAGGAATGTTCTGATTGGTTACATTCACCTCATGAAAAAGCATGTGACAATCTTTCACAGGATTAATTTTTCTAAAATCTAGACTGCATGATTACATGGTGTGCAAAAATACATGTGTGGCATGTCCGTTTAAGACCAACCTTGCTTCAGTGTATGTGTCCTAATGGACACTTTATGTACCAAATCTGTTAGTCTATCAACTTTTATGACCCTTCCTAGAATATTCAGGACATCTTAACATTTATTGCCGCATAAAGCATACTAAATCATGAATTACAAAACGTTTGGGTTTGCGTCTCCTAAATATTTTTTTTAAGAACACTTCGTTTCACATCTTCTTTCTGGACCACTTGTGACTTTCTTTCACAGTATTATTTATGGCAATAAGAAGTGAAACGACACATTGGCAAATGGGATTCAGTTCCTGAAAACTTAGGAACTTTAAAATGAAAAGTAAAGTAAACAGTGTCAGCATTACTGTGTTGAAACATCACTATAGTCATTAAGGTGAATCGAGATGACCTGCTTTGTGATTATTTGGTCTGCATTTACTTGTAATTGTTCAAAGGTAAGTTTTCAAACAATCAAACAAAATTTACATTTTTTTATAATTATAAAAAAAAACAATAATTTGACTTAATTCATTCTGCTTTTTGACATTACCCATTTTGATTGAGGTTATTAGTGTATGTATGTACAACTGACTCGTCTGACATCGCAAATATTTTTTTTTAAATTTGGTGATTTGAGATTATCTGACAATAAGAATGCTCTATTTTAGAAAGTTAACAATCAAGACAGAGATATTTCGGAAGAAAAAAGGTATTTTAAGTTTCGCGCAATTAAGGTGCTGATATTAATTTACAAGAGTAGACAACCAGTTGCCACTGGAAAATTAAGTAAATAAGCTTCTTTAGTTGTATATTTAGTAAATAGGTATTCTTTACTAGTTAAAACCTAACCATAAGAGATTTCTCTTTTCAGATAACTTAAAGTCTGTGTGTATCCCAGATATTTAATATATGCCCAACAATTTATTTTTAATTTGGGGTAAAAATTATTTACTCCGCAACAATTTTCCTCACTTTGGTATGAATAGTTTTGTACTGTGCAATGTGCATACAGTATGTGTTTGCTCAATGCACAGGGATTTTAGCTTCCTTTAATTCCGTGTTCTTTGCCCAATGACTCAATGTTTTACTAACCAATGCCTCAGTATTACCGTTGCTGCTGCTGCGTAACACCATTATCACTGCACTTACACTGGTGTTATCTTTCTTAGGAGAACTGAACCCAAGAAAAGTCAAGAATTTCAACTGGATGATTTACTCCATTTAAGTGATTACAACAGAGTGAATCTCAAAATGTCAAAGAGGGAACATGGTTTGTGCTTTATTCAATACTGTAGTTGGACTTCATGCCTACTTTACTGTTGTGTTTTCATAAATCTTGTAAATGGATACTCCGTGAAGAACTGTACCATCAGAGGGTCTTTGAAATATGCAGTAAATATAAATGTGTTTTGTAACAAGAGGTCCCTGCATTTTGTACCAGGGAATATACCAGACAAAGCCACACATTTGGACGTTTCTGACAATGTCATACAGAAGATTAAAAAGGAGTATTTCTCTCAGCTGTCTAATCTGAAAAGTCTTATTGCACAACATAACAAGATCCGGGAAGTGGAGGAAGGTGCGTTCAGCAGTTTGGTGAATCTGCTGGAGTTAAATCTGGCCTGCAACAACCTGGCAGAAATCTTGGGAGGAATGTTTCTGAATCTGGGAAATCTCACTGTGTTAGATCTGAATGAGAACTTTATCACAAATATAAACTTCTCTGCATTTTCACCCCTGGTCAGTTTGAGAAAAGTAAATCTGTCCAGAAATCATCTGAATAAAATAAGCCAAATTCAGCCGCTCTTTTTATTACCACAATTACAGGAAGTGCACATTGGGATTAACGGCTTCACCTCTTTTCAGACCTCGGAGGTGTCCAACATTTCTTTGAGACTGAAAGTCCTGGATTTATTTAAAAATCCTTTGAAAGTGTTCAGTATCACTGCAGATATTTTCCCTCTCCTTGATAATTTGGTCTTGGCTTTTATTACTGAAAACATGACATGGGATGTGCAGGACAAAAGGTATCTACAAAGTGTGCAACATCTAAATCTAAGTGGACTACAATTGCCCCTGGAGAAGATCACAGATCTCTTACAAACTTTCAACTCTTCTTTGGTCAGCCTTCGGCTACATTCTCTGGGGGATGTAAAAGTGAGAACTTTGATTAGGAACGTCTGTCTGATTTCATCTTTGAAATTTCTAGGCCTGCAGTGGAACAACATAATATCCATATCAAAAGACGAGATGCAGTTCTGCACACAGTTAACTGAGCTAGATCTCTCCAACAACAGACTATACAGCGTCCCTGCTATCGTCAGCAGCCTACCAGGTCTTCATCTTTTGGACCTCAGCTTCAACCAGATAAAGAACATAAGTTGTGTTGATTTTTCCAATTTAACTCAATTACGGACCCTTCAGATTATCAGAAATGATATATCTCTTATTGAAAATTTTGCTTTTAAAGATCTGAAAAACTTAGTGACACTAACAATTGGATCTAACAGACTCTTGCTCAATGGATATTTTAAAAAAGATCTTCATAAACTTGAGAGTTTGGATATGGCAAATAACAAGTTGGACTCTGTCCATAGTGGAGATTTTGAGTCCTTAAAATCCCTGAGGAATTTGTCTCTATCAGACAATCAAATATTGTTTATTGAACCAGGGTCCTTCAATGGATTGACAAATTTAATTTTCCTGAATTTGCAATCAAACAAGCTCTCTCAGAGTTCATTAAAAGATTTAGTGTTCTCCAGTCTCCCAAACCTGAAAACACTTCTGTTGAACAATAACTATTTTTCATATGACAGTCAAGAGGCTCTAGCACAACCACCCTTTCAACATCTGAAAAAGCTAAAGACTCTGAATATTTTTAGCCAAGGTCATAAAGGAATGCGCTATTTACCCTCAAACCTTTTCAAGGGTCTGTGGTCTTTGGAAGAACTTCAAGCAGAGAATCTTAATATAAATGATTTACATCCAGACACATTTACTTACACTCCTTATCTGTGGGCACTGGATCTCAGCAGAAATGATTTTATTTCACTCACAACAAAACAATTTCTGCCACTTAAGGTCCTCAAGACACTCCACCTGTCCAAAGTTGGCTTGCAATCTTTGGACTTTCTCATTAACGCAAATTTCAGTAAACTGCATCTGTTGCATGTAAGCAAGAATGCATTATCAGTCATTAATGAAACTTTGATCCAGTCTCTTCCAACACTGATTTACCTTGATCTACAAGCAAATTACCTCTCATGTGACTGTACTAATGCCTGGTTTGTAAACTGGGCCATAAGTAGCAATGATACAGAAGTTGAGGGTGTTTATGAACTCACATGCAATTACCCAGACAAACTCAAAGGACATAAACTCCTGGATCTTGATGTAGGTTCATGTAATGTAGATGTTGGGTTTTTCTGTTTCATTTCCACAAGCACACTAGTTTCACTGACCCTACTCGGCTCTTTTCTCTTTCACTTCCTCAAATGGCAGGTTATGTATGCGTACTACCTTCTACTTGCTTTTCTTCAAGATAACAAACAGCAGAGAAAGCGCAATGGTTTGCAATATGATGCTTTTATTTCCTACAATGTGCATGATGAATTTTGGGTTATGAGGGAGCTGTTACCTCAGTTGGAAGGCGAGCAAGGCTGGAAGCTGTGTCTGCATCACAGGGACTTTGAACCAGGCAAACCTATCATGGATAATATTGTTGATAGCATTTACAACAGTCGTAAAACTATCTGTGTGATTAGCCGTCACTACCTGGAAAGTGAGTGGTGTTCCAGAGAGATCCAAGTTGCTAGTTTCCGTCTCTTTGATGAGAAAAAAGATGTTCTTATCCTGGTATTCTTGGAGAATATTCCATGTCATCAACTGTCTCCGTATTACAGAATGAAGAGACTAATCCAGAAGAAGACATACATCAGCTGGCCTAAACCAGGAGAGGACACCAGGGTCTTCTGGCAGAAACTGAGAGTAGCTCTGGAAACCAAAGGCACTTCAGAAATGGAGCATCCTATTGGTTGGGATTTAGGGGTCAACTAACTCTATCTAAATGAAAATATTCTGCAATTAGGGTGACCACCTGCTACTAAGCCCAAGGGGGGACAAGGGGTATGTTTCTGAGGGACAATGTGGGACACTGCTTGGCGCGGCGGTGCCCCCACCCCACGGGCAGACTCTGATAGTGGTTTACCCATATCTAGAATTGTTACTATTGCCTTACTGTTTGTAAATGAATAATTGTTCACAAAAAAAAAGCACATACCTTAGCACATACATTAATAATGCCCTATTCCTTAAACATGTGTAATTGCTGATATATGCTCATGAATAGGCCAACCAATGTGTATTTTTTTCTAAATAAAATGAATATTTTGAACATTCAATGAATTGACAGATGCATTTCCACTTACGATTTACTTTAGCTATTTAATTTTATTTATTTTTCATTAACAATTAATTCACTTTAAATAAATAAAAATATAAAATTATAGGATTAACAGGAATTATAGTTGCTCAACACCACAGGAACAGTTTTAAAAAAAGTCGAAAAAAAAGTCTAAACTCACAACTCCAGAGGTTCACGGAACGAGAAGGTGTGCTGTCATGACAACAATGAAAAAGTTGACAACAACCTAGTCAGCAGGTCACGTGGGAGTGGCAACCAGGGAAGTTCTCACTTTCTGAACTAGTTCAAAGTTCAGTTCACACATTTTAAAATGAACTAGTTCAGTTCAAAGTTTGCACAGAAATGTAAGATTTTCCCCATCTTCACCGACCTCGTTATAAAATCCGTTTAAATTATCATACGACGCCTTTGTCGACGGCGGCCGCGGTGCGACACTGGTGGCTTGTGTTGCCAGATTGGGTGTTTTTTTCGCCACATATTAAGCCCTGTTTACGGCGAGTTTTAGCCAGGTTTTCGCCTGGAAGGCTCTATAGAAATCTGGCACCCCATCAGGACAGGCAGTAAAACAATACGTTCAGTTCACCCAAAATATGAACGAGTTCATGAACGTGAACCTGTTCAGGCACAATGTTTGGCTGCCTGGGTCTCGAGGATATAGACTGACCGACTTTTCTTTTTTTTTTTTGAGCAAGCATTGATTATGCGTGACACAATTTGCGGGACTCATGAATTGGGCTTCAAACGCTGTGCGCGCATGCGCTACGCGGGACGGGTGGTCACCCTATCTGCAATATGCAGGATGTTTGCAGTAAAATATCCAAAAACCACAAGGGCAATGTTAAATATTTTGTTTAGTTGATTACTTTCAATATCCCAAATGTTTTCTACTATTGAGAAAATTGCAATTTTAACCAAGGAAACGGGGCGTGTGGGCAGGGGTGAGGAGTCGCCAGTCAATGGCGTCATTTCCGCGTTACCCCTGGTTTCCGCCAGGTTTGACCTCGCACTGCAATAGTAACCATGGCGACAGACGTTGACAATTGGGTCAGTTATGCCGGTTATGCCTAGAAGGACGCTCACGCTGTTGTTGTTTTGTTCGAACATTATGGACCATGGCAAGCAGACTTTGAGACAAGAAGAGAACTTCGAAAGAAGAAGAAGATTTCGAAATGCCGAACGTCCACGTCCGCAACTAACTTTGTCTTGACGGAGACGCGAGTGTTGCATGTTACTTTATTAAACAGGTGAGCAAATGTTAAGCATAGTGAGCAAACTAATCAATGTTATTTAGTTCAACACGATAAAAAAGTTAGAATATGATCTGTATGTTATTCTCTAATGTTAATCTGGCTTAGTCTCATACAGCCAAAAAACAACCTAACTTAACTAACAACATACAACACTCAAAAATCCCATTTAGTGTGATAGTTTAACTGTTAGAGCAAGAGAAGCAGCGCTGCGTTACCTCAAGTTTCATTTTTTTAACGTAAAAAACAACTGACCTGTGTGAGTAATTCAGCATCAGCACTTGTGTGTAGTTCAGTAGAATGAAATGTCCTTATTCCTTTATATCCGCTAGACTCGCGTTGTGTGTGGCGCTGGTATACGTCTAGCAATCGCGCCCTGCTTCATACCACAGTCATGTTAAAAACATCACTGTATTCACTCATCCATAAAAGATCCATCAGCTTGACGACAAGATCCATAATTTCGCTTAATGCAGAATATATGCCACCAATATACGCCTTTGTTATTGTAATAATTAATTCATTACATTTATATAGTGCTTTTCTGGACACTCAAAGCGCTTTACATAGAGAGGGGAATCTCCTCAACCACCACCAATGTGCAGCATCCACCTGGATGATGCGGCGGCAGCCATAGTGCGCCAGAACGCTCACCACACACCAGCTTACTGGTCGAGAGGAGACAGTGATGAAGCCAAATCCAAGCCAAGATGAAATCTAGCATATTGTACCTTTAACTGCTTTTTTCCCTTCCTTCCTACACTGTACACAATATGGGTCACCTTAAGTAATATCATGACTAATGAATTGTTAAAAGTGTATATATGGAAAAAGTCTTAGATGCAAAAAAGCATGTTTTATCACAATACTCAAATAAAAACACCTTGCATTAACATGCCTTTATTATGGATAGCTGCAGTTTAATTTGATTGTATATTTAAGCACTTGATATTTAAACATCTCACACATGATTTTGTCTTTAATTTAGTCATTTTCTATACACTTAACTGTGTATATACAGATTAGAACAACTTTCAACGTTGTTAGTGTTTATGCAAAAAAGCTGAATCAGCAGTGTTCATATATATCTATGTTGTGGCTGAATAAAGTGGATATGTCACCGGTGCAGGCTGGGGTGGGCACCAGATGACCGGTCGCACCCCTAACTGCACCCCTAGCACCCCACCGTGAGGAGCCGACACCACAGGTACAAACAGGCAGACAGAAAACAGTGCAGCCAGAGCCGGCTCTCCTTATTGAGGGAATGCGCGTGACGTCACCGTCAGCCGGAGTACCTGCAGTTCCTCACAGTAAGTGGAAAAAAGACTGAGCGGCTGTATATGTGTTTATACCTTAAAGGCCATGGTGCAGTTTTTTTCATGGTGCATGGTGCAATTTTCTAGTTGGTAATAAACATTTATACAGTTATCCTTTGTATCTGATGTTGTAGGGAATTCAAAAATTAAAATATAATACGGAAAAGTGGGTGAAATGCTAGCTTTTAGCTACAGCTAAGCGAGGATTCTTATTTCTCCCACAATGCATTCCATGACGTCACATGAGGTACTCGCTGACTGTTGGACGACAGACGAAAGCCCGCGGCCCGCCTTACCATTGAGGGAGAGTGATACGAGGAGTAGCTAGCTAGTGAATGAGTGACAGTGACAGATTTATAAGTAAAGATAGATAGATAGATAAGCATAGCATATATAGTGAGAGATAGCATAGCATAACAGATAGCAATAGCTAAGAGATTTCTTCCCCAAGGACAAAGGGATTTTCCGAAGCTGGGTGCAGTTTGTGAAGATTAGGCGAGCTAGCTCTGTTACCGCCTACTCGAGAATATGCAGCGCGCATTTCAAAGAGGAGGATTACAACTCAGGGGACGCCAAGATGGTCTCACTTGGTTTAAAGAGTGAGAGGAGTGTTAAATTACTTCCTACCGCCGTGCCGTCGGTGAACGCAAACCTCTCTGCTTGCCCTGTCCCGAGGTCGAGAGACACCGTCTGCCGCAAGCGAGAAATTGCCACGGTACCCAGATAGCAAACTGACATTGAATCAACGTGGAAATATGACATCGAAACAACGTTGATCTGACATTGTTTTGCCCATCGAATTAACGTTGAACCAACGTCAGATGCGTCATTCTTTCAAAACTAACGGAAAATCAACTTGAAATCAAAGCGTTGTTTCAACGTTATGAAAGCAAACCAATTTTCGATTTCATTTAGCTTTGAAGAATGCCGCGTCTGACGTTGGTTCAACGTTAATTCGATGAGCAAATCAACGTTGTTTCAATGTCATGAGAGACGTCGTTTCCACGTTGATTCAATGTCAGTTTGCTGTCTGGGGAAGCATCATGCTAACGTTAATGTTTACAAGCTGCGTGTTAGCTAGCTCTGTGTGTATTTTGTATACCGTGCTCCCTTTGACACAGCCTCCACTAATTTACAAGCACGATCACTCTGACATTAGAAGAGAATATTTCGGAATTCACGAATGAAAATTAGAATAATAACAATATTGTCCTGAGGTAAAAGTCCATATCATCATGATTGTTTGGATCAGATCAAGCGGCTTTCGCAATAGTGTTTGCGTTTTGTTTTTGACTGCTACGGTTCTCTTTCACATATATTTGACCGTGACCGTGTCGCCAGGGCTGTAGTGAAGCATTTTTCTCACCCACTCACACTGTTTTGATTTTGGTACGGCTGTGTTATTGTTTCCACTGGGAAACTAACGTTTTAGTTGTAGCACACACGTCCCATTTTATTGATGGACTTATGAAACGACTGGGAATATGTACTTATCGTCTTGGAATTTCAAAGATAAGTAAATAATTCTCAGTACTTCCAAGTTGAAAATAAATGATTAAAAGTTTCATGTGCTCCTGCAATGTGCTTGCGAATCACTTCTAAGTATTCATAGTATACCCACATCTTATTTCACCACTACACACTTGCATTTTGCTGACCCTTTTTCATATTTGTTTTTGCAAGATGTTGAAAGACGCCTCACAGCAGGAGACTGTGGACAGTATAGACACTGTGGAGAGTGTCTATACTGGGGTTCAGCCCTTGCCCTCCTCCACTTCTGACGCTGGGACACAGTGTTCTTTGAAGCCCCCCCGATGGTCTCACGGTAAAACTTGGGTATTTTAAGGGGTAGATATTATCATATAGTCTAAAACAGTATCTATGCAATCAGAACATTTCCATACACATTGATTAAATTAATACATAGCTTAGACCAAAAAACATAGCCGTTTAGATTTGCCATGATTGTCACATGTTTGGGTGTTTACTGCCTCTCCACAGCTGTGCAGGTTAACCTGAAGCCCAAGATGATCATTCTGCCCACAAACCTCCACTCCCCTCGCTAGTCCTGA